AAACGATGTAACGAATGAGGAGTGATTCGAGAGACCCTACAACTTATGGTAGCCACGGGAGGTCAAAAAATACAAGGGACACAAGGAGTATCGCCAGACTAGGGTAGGTTAAGAGTTGCAATCTCGAAACTTGTCTAAGTAAAAGTCATCAAGCCAGGGGAGGAACGACAGGGAAGTAGAACGTTAAAGGGGAGTTCCAATAAATGTCGGAGAAAGCAAGTAGAATCTTCGAGGAGGAAGGGCGTGAAGCTACCAACCTGGGCTCGGGTATCAAGCTAGAACCAAGTATCGGTAAAGGGATTGTGCAAGTAAAGGAAGGATAAATTCATGTAGTAGAAGGAGTATCTAAGGTGAGACTTGGAGTTATAACGGTCAACAAATTTCGAGGTCGAAATTTTCTTAAGGGGGGAGGAAAATGTGATACGTCGACTTCGATTTATGGTCCAACAATGAGTACTGATGAGCTGGAGCAACAAACCAATTCGAAATTTTGTCTTGTCACATCCTTGGACTGAGTGAGGGAATTAAAAAGGGTCAAGGAGCCATTCGAGGTTACTCGATGCTAAGGAGCTTGGTGAGAATACCTTTTATGGGCAAGAGGAAATATTAGAAGTGAGGTAGACTATACGGGACAAATAACGGACATCATCGAATTTCATTGAGTGAGAGTAAATTCTCAGGGCAAGTCAATGCAAGAATGAGGAGTATGGGGGAATGAGTCCGAGCAAATTTCGGGGACGAAATTTTTATAAGGGTGGAGGAAATGTTACACCCCGATCTTTCTAAGGGTTAAAATGACTATTTTACCCTTAGTTAAACTCATCAAGTTTCATCGTAATATCGAGGAGGATTAAAAACATGAACTATTGGTTCGAACGGTGTCGAATTTCGATATAAAACGAGGAGGTTATGGATGTTTTAGATTGTGACTAGTTGCTATGGTTTGGTTTGGGCCGAGAAGGAGGAGTGGGCCTGGGTTGTGAGTGGCCAGGCTGTGAAATAAGTTCAAATGGGTTTTGGCCCGAATTGAGAAGAAGAGAAGAGAGGGAAGGGGAGTGGATTGGGCCTGCGGCCCGGAGTGGGAAGGAGGGACGGGGCAGGCTTGAGGCCCGAGGAGAGGAAGAAGAAGCGGGCTTGCGGCCCGGGTCAAGGAAGAAGAGGAGGTTTTGGAGTGAGGGGGAAAGCAGGCTTGGGCCCAGACGGGAAAGGAAGAAGAGGAGTCGCCTTCCTCTGGAAAGCTCGACCAAAAGCGTGGAAACAGGGTGAAATTAAAGAACAGAGGAACGGCAGGTTGCGGGGAGGAAGGTGAGGCAATCGAGCAGGCCTCTCGGCGATTACGGGCGTAAGTTTTGGGTAACGGAACTGACGATTTCGGATTTTAATTGGGACTTAATGGCTGATTAATTTAGGGTCTTTAATTGATCGGGTTTGAGTTACAATGACGAGAGGGGCGGGGGAAATCGGAAACCGAAGAAGAAGAGGAGAGCAGTGAGCATATGTTCCTCGAGAGGCTAGATGGAGCCGGCACCAACAGGAAGAGGAGCGAGGTGGATCCGAACGCGGGTAGTGTCTCGGGGACGCAAGAAGAAGGTCGGAGGCTTGGCGACGGCGGGGAGTGGTACTGTCGACTCCAACGGTGGCAGAGTGAAGGACAGAGTGGAAACGTCGGCGCGACCGAGCAATTACCCACCCAAACCACGGGAAATCTCAGCAATCCGCCATTTCCCTCCGAATTGCGGCCGGAGAAGTGGCGACGGGCTTGGCGGCGGGGAAAAGCTTCACCCGCCGGCGGTGGCAGGCGAGGCGCTGCTCGAGGAAGAAGAAGAGGAGCCGGAGGAAGGGGGTTGTTGTGGGGAGAAAGTCGACGGCGACGGTGGTCGGAATCCCGGCGTCGACGGCGGCGGTGATGTCCAGGTGAATTGTTCTCCCGTGGTTTTTGGAGTCCAATGGCGTCGTTTTGGAAATTTGATTAATGGTCAAGGGAGTTCATGTCTTTTTGGAATTGGGGAAATTTGGTTAAGTTAATAAGTCTGAGTGCCGTAACGTAATTGACCAGGCCTTGGGGTGGGTTGCATTGAGTGAATATTTGGGTACCAGATTGAAATAGGCCATTTGGACTAAAATGTTTAAATCAGGAAGTGGAAATTGGCCTGGAGGACTGATTTGTGCAATTCTGGAAGTTTGGGGCCGAATTGTAAAACCTGGGAACTTCGAGTACCATTTGGTAATTTGCCGTTTTGGGGTGAAAAGATAATTTTTCAGAATTTGGTGGGGAATCCTAGGAAAGATTAAATGGGGGAATTTTGGATTGGAATCAACCAAATTTGAGGTCGTTTAATTAGTTACGTTCGTAGAAAGGAGTATTAAGTGTTGCCTAAATACTTAATAGGAGAATTTGCAAAAGGAGATGATTGAGCATGGAATCTCGGACGATGACGTAGATCAACCGGCAGTGAAGAGGAGTCGCGTCGATCGATCAGAGTCGGCTAACGAGGTGAGTGTAAAGGGGGTAAAATCTCCGTCGAGGTCTTTTAGTTTATGCATATTTAATTCAGTTATGTTATTTAATTTTCAAGTAAGCGCGATTATGTGTGTGAGGCATCCCACCGCCTACTTAAGGTGGAGGCACGCGTTGTGCTATGTATGTGTGTGTTTGTGATGTATGGATGATGGTAACTGAACCCCCGGGCGGTTGGGCCACTACTGGACGCGGTAGATGGTCGGGTCACTACTGGACGGCGATACGTAACGCAGTAGTTGACCGGGCATGGACTGGACGACGATACGTAACGCAGTACCATTGCCTTGAGGATAGGGACACCGGACGGCGATACGTAACGCGGTGATTCCCTAGTAATAAGTATATAAGTTAAGGTAGTGGTAGAGAACTTCTATGATTTAAGGATAAAAGTTGAGAACCTCTATGAGTTAGAGTTGAAATGAGTTGTTAAGGATGAAAGCGAGAACGGCTTTCATGTAGGAGGAAGTAATTTCTAATAATGTGTTAGTAGGGCTTGCTTAGGCAAAGACCTTAGGAAGTAACGACGAGACTGACCCCTTCTCACTCACCAGGTTGAGGTTGGGTTAGCGGAAGTGCATCCCGAGAAGAAGTAAGATGAGGTGACCGGCCGTGCCAGTACTAGTGAGATGTCAAGGAGCTGGGTGAAGAGTTAGAGTTAAAACTTGAAAGTTATTTTATGATTATGATTATGAGTATATGTACTGGAGATTCAAGGTTCAAGATGTTGGGTTAAGTCGTTTAAGTATTTGGATTTTGATTGCCCAAGTGTTAGGGCTTTTCGTTTGAACTTCCTAATATAATGTCAGATTGTTTATTTAAAAAAAAATGGTTTGGCTGCTCCGGAGTAACCGGCTTTTGGTTTGAGTTGTGGTTTGATTTTCGAAAAAGGTCGGGACGTTACATGAAACACTTTCTTTCTCTAGGGTTTTAGCCTAAATACCAAAGGGGAGTTCTAGTGAGAGAGAGAGAGAGAGTGCTTGTTTACACCTATAATAATTTTGGCCTAAATTAAATGCCGCATTAATTAGTTTCGGTATTTAATTCGATGCCTCATGACAAAAAACGGTGTCGTTTGGAGTCGAGCGACATCGCGGTGAGTTAAAACGATACCGCGAAACAATAAACGGGTACGCAAGGTAGCTCACCGGTACCGCGGCACTGGAAACGACACTGTTTACCAAAAAAAAAAAGAAAGGGGGCCGCGCGTAGTATTGGTGTTGGAAAAGGAGTTATTATTATTATTATTATTATTATTATTATTCCTTGTCGGAAGGGAAGAAGCGGTACCGCATGGAGACAAGCGGCATCGCGGAGAATTAAAACGGTACCGCAGATGTAAAAACGATGCCGCGGGAGGCCTTGATAAGCGGTGTCGATTAAATAAAAAAAAATCATATCAGGTAAGTGAAGGGCCTAAATTCCGCCCAACACAATGCGAGTGCAAAATCTCGGCGGTTCAATGAATTGGAATTTTTTGGCTATGTTAGCGGTGTCGTTTAATTAAAAACGGTACCGCGAGTAAGCCCAACGGTACCGCTGTATTAGCAAACGACAATGTTTAATATAAAACAATGTCGTGTAGTAAAAAAGCAAACAGAGCTGTTTGGGGAAGAAAACGACATCGCGTGAGATTCACACCAACCCGAGCGAGGAGGAGATCAAGACGGTTGAGACACGTGGGAGTTCACAACGGAGCAGTTGAGGAAGTGGTTCCACCTAGCGTGAAGACTACGAAGCGGTTTTTCGAATAAAAGCAGTGGAGCAAGGAGAGAGAAGAGGACAACCAAATCAACACAGAAACACTCTGTCAAAACTTTACCTTTTTTCTCTGTAACTCCTTCGCGGAGCTCTCCTTCCAGGAAGGATCTCCATAGTTGTAGTTTTAGTCGTAGTCGCGGAGCTCTCCACAGGAATCTCCATAGGAGTAGCGGTAGCGTAGATTCCTCAAAACTTAAACACCCTCGTTCGAACGTAGTTTGGAGAGGTGCGAACCGTAGTAACGGTCGTTCTTGGTTAGAAGTCAGAGGTGCATTGATCAAATCAACACCGCCTAGCGGTGGATATTTGACGGTCACGTTGATTTCACCATTCAAAGGTGCATCGATCAAATCAACGGCGCCGACATTCGGCGGCGGATATTTGACGGTCGTCTCGATTTCAGCAATCAGCGGTGCATTCGATCAAACGACACCGCAAGAGTTTCCATCGCGAAGCATCAAATCAACATCGCCGGAAACGAATTCGGCACCGGCGGTGGCATTTGCTTTTTCTCGGGAAACAATTTGGCACACCTGGTGGGACACGTGTGTTTGATGTGAATACGGCTCCGCGTCGAGGAAATCAAGATCGTGATCTTCCACACGTACCTGTGGAGGAGGAGGCGCCCGATATTGAAGTTGGTCAGGCGAACGAGTCAGGTAGACGTACTCAAGGGATGGAGGAGATGCTACATGCTGAAATCCTGTATCTACGTCAATCCATGGAGGAGTTTCGCCAATCCATGACGGAGTTTCACCAAGAGGTAAATCTCCAATTTGATAATCTTGAAAAGAAAATGGATAAGTTTGAAAACAACATAGATCGATGGTTTGATAAGTTGGATGACTGTGTTTCTGATTTTAGTATGTCAATACATAGAGCCACGTATGATTTTGATGTGTTTAAATATGAAACCACGTCTGTTGCGTGCGATGATTTAATGGTTGATCGACTAGCCATGGTCAACCAAATGCCATCGTTGAGCCTGGTTACGACACTGTTGCCAGAAGCAAGGAATCCCAATGTGTCTTTTCTAGTGAACAACATTGTTCTTAAGGACACACAAGTTGGAGGTGGCTTGCAGAAGCCACTACAAAGAGGTCAGTATCAACATATTTCTAACAAGAATGAAAATAAGAATCAGGGTGGACAACCTGATTACAATCACGTTGAGCATAGCAAGCTCGCGTATGATGGGTTGTCCAAGAAACATTGCGATGATGTCCGATCTAAGTCGCTAGGGGGGCATGAGATCCCATCTCGTGGTAGATTTACGGAGAAACAACATTGCAAGTGGCGTAGAAGTTTGCCACATCCACCCTGTTTTAGGAAAAATCAAACTAGGGTTGACACAAACACACTTCGGTGTAGTGGCAGCCACGTGAAAAAACTCAATGCCACCAAAGTTAGAATAAAACAAAACAATCCTCCACGTAAAGTGCCCCCAAAGACTCCATTGAGTGAACTGGGGGGCAAGCTCAATCGGGCACGACATGGAGGTGCCACACCAGTGTTTGCTAAGAGGAAGTCTGCCACGAATGGTGGATTGGGGGGCAAGCCTGATGTCCAACAAACTCCAAACTCAAGTAGGAGCTCAAATGCGGCAAAGTTGTGTGATAGGTGCAAAAATCAAGATTGCAATACTCGCATTTGTGTTGGTGGAGCTCGTAAGCCTCGGTGCTCCTACCCCCAACAACGTGGTGGGAGTGAGAAGCTGGCAAAACCAAACCAGTCTGGGCAAGCGATGCCACATGGTCGATTTGGCCCGACAAAGGTGCCAAAAAACGTGAGTGTTCCGCCTAAAGCCAAGAACACTTATGGTTTTCCATTATGCGAGGCTGAGATGAGGCTAAATCAGGCTCGTGGAGTTTTAAACAAGGATGTCCGAGCTGGACAAACTGGAGAATTACAAGCGGCCAACATTAATTCCAAAACATCAAAACTAACTTGTGTGAAGCCAGCAAGGCAGGGGATATATGGATGGCTTGTTTGGTTTGATATGTGGAGTTGGGAGTGGGTGTGGACTTTTGGCAGGATGATTTATGCCAATGTCGATCTTGTTTTTGTTTAATTATTATTAAAATAAATAAAATATGGCTAAATTAGGCCATGTTATATGTAAAAAAAAGAGAAAATTAAAAATTATTAAAATTTTACAAGCGGCATTGTTAAGAAGAAGCAACTGCGTTGTTGGCAGTAGTTTCAAGGTGACCAGCAGTGTTGTTTTCTCTTTTCTCAACAGTGTTGCAGGGATGCACAACGTTGCTGTAACAAAAGTGTTTTAATTTAAAAATAATAAAATACCGCCAAGACAACGCCGTTTAGAGGCAAAAATTTGAGCTGTTTGGCAAATAGCATCGTGGAACGAATGGCTTGCGAGCCAAATTCTGCAGTGCTGAGGAAAAGAGTGAAAGTTTCGACAAAACAGCACTGCAAGCAGTGACAGCATTATAAAATAAGTAAATAGAAAAAATACACTGCAGTGTTGTAAGGTGAAGGTTGAGCAACGTTGCAGTTACTTTAAATTGCTTCGGCCACAGCATGGACCGAGGATCTAAGCAGCGGTGTTGGAGGAAAACAAAGCTGCTGAAAAGAAGGAAAAAACTTCGATGTTTGGTCATCAACAGCGTTGCAAGAAAAGATGCTGCAGTGTGATGGTCGTTTCATGAGTTTGTGAGTGGTGGTGTTTAACATAAATAAAAGAAAGAAGTTAAAACCGCATTGGAAACTTGCTGGAGTGTTGCGGACTTGCGGGCAATGGCCGATTAAATATATATAAGAAGAGTTCGGCTGCAACTTGGACAAATAAGGACTAAGGACGCAACGTTGAGAGGAGTAGAGCATTTTTTTTGGGCCCAAAGCAGCGTTGCTTTAGAGAAAAACAAAGCTGCAGTAATCAAAGTCAGGCGTTGTTTTCGTGCTTCGCATCACTGCCAAACAAAGCATTGCTAATCAGTGTTGATTTAAATGACATGATTAAAAATAAAAAAATGTCCCGCCAATTTTTTGTTGCGAAAGGAAAAATCGGGCAATAAAAAATAAAAAGAAGAAGGAGATTTTGATATCATTAATCAACGTTGGTTTGGCCAATTAACGTTGCAAGACTAGTTGAACAATACAATATTGTTTGTGGGATTTGGCCAGAATGTTTCAAGAATAATTTTGGGTGGTTTAATTTGTGTCAACAACTTAGTGCATAAGAATTGATTCTTATAAACTAAGTTGTGGGGGCATTGTTTACACCTATAATAATTTTGGCCTAAATTAAATGCCGCATTAATTAGTTTCGGTATTTAATTCGATGCCGCATGACAAAAAACGGTGTCGTTTGGAGTCGAGCGACATCGCGGTGAGTTAAAACGATACCGTGAAACAATAAACGGTACCGCAAGGAAGCTCACCGGTACCGCGGCACTGGAAACGACACTGTTTACCAAAAAACAGGATGGGGGCCGCGCGCGTAGTATTGGTGTTGGAAAAGGAGTTATTATTATTATTATTTTTATTCCTTGTCGGAAGGGGAGAAGCGGTACCACATGGAGACAAGCGGCATCGCGGAGAATTAAAACGGTACCGCGGATGTAAAAACGATGCCGCGGGAGGCCTTGATTAGCGGTGGCGATTAAATAAAAAAAATCATATCAGGTAAGTGAAGGGCCTAAATTCCACCCAACACAATGCGAGTGCAAATTCTCGGCGCTTCAATGAATTGGAATTTTTTGGCTGTGTTAGCGGTGTCGTTTAATTAAAAACGGTACCGCAAGTAAGCCCAATGGTACCGCTGTATTAGCAAACGACAATGTTTAATATAAAACAATGTCGTGTAGTAAAAAAGCAAACAGAGCTGTTTGGGGAAGAAAACGACATCGCGTGAGATTCACACCAACCCGAGCGAGGAGGAGATCAAGACGGTTGAGACACGTGGGAGTTCACAACAGAGCAGTTGAGGAAGCGGTTCCACCTAGCGTGAAGACTACGAAGCGGTTTTTCGAATAAAAGCAGTGGAGCAAGGAGAGAGAAGAGGACAACCAAATCAACACAGAAACACTCTGTCAAAACTTTACCTTTTTTCTCTGTAACTCCTTCGCAGAGCTCTCCTTCTAGGAAGGATCTCAATAGTTGTAGTCTTAGTCGTAGTCGCGGAGCTCTCCACAGGAATCTCCATAGGAGTAGCGGTAGCGTAGATTCCTCAAAACTCAAACACCCTCGTTCGAACGTAGTTTGGAGAGGTGCGAACCGTATTAATGGTCGTTCTTGGTTAGAAGTCAGAGGTGCATCGATCAAATCAACACCGCCCGGCGGTGGATATTTGACGGTCACGTTGATTTCACCATTCAGAGGTGCATCGATCAAACAACACCGCCCGGCGGTGGATATTTGACGGTCACGTGATTTCACCATTCAGAGGTGCATCGATCAAATCAACGGCGCCGACATTCGGCGGCGGATATTTGACGGTCGTCTCGATTTCAGCAATCAGCGGTGCATTCGATCAAACGGCACCGCAAGAGTTTCCATCGCGAAGCATCAAATCAACATCGCCGGAAACGAATTCGGCACCGGCGGTGGCATTTGGTTTTTCTCGGGAAACAGTGCTAGAGTGATCTTGGAGCATCATTGGAGGCTTGGGTGGAAGATTCAAGCCTAGAAGAAGAAGAAGATATTGAGCTCAAATTTGTAATCCCTCTCTCTCTCTCTCTCTCTAGAAACTCACTATTTTCTCTTGGGTGTTGTAGATCCCTAACTAATACTTTGTAATTACTTGTTTAGATTGAATGATTAAGTGTGGGTTTGCATCAATTTGAATATTAGAGGTGTTTTCATGGTGATTGTGCATGCTTGTGCTTAGCACCCTTAGGTTTGTGCATGTTGGTGCTAGCAATCTAATTAGCCACCTTAGCCTAGCTTAGAGAGGAAAATCCCCCTTCCGAGGGAGACTCAATCGAGTTGGTTTTCCTTCCGCTTTTTGAGCCACCTAAACTAGGTTAAGTTAGGGAAACCCTCAATCTTGTGTTAAGCAAATCGGTAAATCGCGATTAAGCCGTCCGACCTTAGAGTTGAGTGAGGGAGTAAGTCGATTACCGATTGTCTAAACCAAGAGGGTCGAGTGACACAGCCTTTCATGCTTACCTCGGTTTAGAAATTGAGATTGTGCTCGCTAACCACATACGCTTTCCTCTGCGGTTCGCGGTTACCAGTTTGCATCTAAGTTGGTTGTGATTAAGCCGCTCAAACTCCGGTTTGAGGGAGAGACCAAGGAAACCACTAGTGACCGAGCAAGAGGATTGATCCCGTGACAAATAAACCTCCAGTGAATCCATCTCATGACAAATGGATTGCTAGTTGCTCCTCCTAGCGATTCCCCTAGACTTGGTGATAGGATCGATCACGTAACAAATCGATCGCTAGTGAATTGATGCCGTGACAGATTGATCACTAGTTCCTCACCACCCGCGGTTCACAACCACCTATGCGACACGACTCCATTCAATCTAATGAGTCATGGTAGCTAGTTAGGGGGAAGAAACTCTTGGGTGAAGCTCCCTTAGTTAGACTTTTCCTTTATTTACTTTTCTTTGCTTGGTTAGTTTGTAGTTCCAAAAAATCTAAACCCAAAAGTTGCTTGTTAGATAACAACCTAAGCGATTGAAGTAGGGGTACATGGATCGGCCCGGGTTGACAATTTAAATACTTGCTCTATACTGCACCCAACTAGAGTTTAAAAACTTGCACTCTAGTCGGAATTAATTTGTGGTGTAGTTTCGTGCGAGTCAGGTTCATACAACCATTCCTAGCATACAAAACTAGGGTTCTTCATACCCAGATGAAAGGAGAGTTTACTCCATGGAGAGAAGTGGAAACATCATGTTAGGAGGAGAAAACATCATGTGGACATTGAAAATCTGCTCCTGCCGGCTAATCGGTACTCCAAGGATGAGGAATCGAACATCGAGGTCTTCAGATCGCTCCAATCCTTGCCCAAGGGTTGTCCTTCGTCACTCTCTCTCTAGCGTTCTCTTTCTGCCTATAGAACTTCAAAAATCCGGATCCTCTGCCCTTTTCCTGAGCTGCCCTTTTATAAGCGGGAGATTCGGGAGTTACGGCCAAAGTTATGGCCGTAACTCCCTCTCCTAGCTCGTAACTTTCCTCAAAATGGTTTCATCGCTGTGATCCATAAACCAAGAGTTACGAGTTATTTAGAGGAGTTACGGTTGAAACCATAACTTGAGAGGGGAGACCGTAACTCCAAGAATGCTCATGGAACCTTGTGTCATCGTTTCTTAAAAGTTACGGGTGCTAAGGGCGAGTTACGGTCCAGACCGTAACTTCTCATGTATGGCTGTAACTCCAAAGAAGCTCCTGGAACCTTGCCCTTTTCCTTTAAGAAGTTACAGGCTCTTGGGGAAAGTTACGAACTCGATCGTAACTTCCAAGTCTCGGCCGTAACTTCTTCTGGCTCTTTGCCCATTTGCTCCAAAATGTCCCAAAATTCGCTCGTTTGTACCCATTCATGTGGTAGGACCTAAAACATCATCAACCAACACAACCTAGCGTCATATAGGCCACGAGAGCAAGAAAGCGAGCTAAAACGATCAAGAAATGAATGGAAAAACATGTTCAAATATGTGGTTATCAAATTCCCCCACACTTAACCGTTTGCTTGTCCCCAAGCAAACCTGACTCAAACCAATGCAACTCTCCAGACCTTTACAGCAACATGCAACCTCTATCGTCGGTTGAGGACTTCCTAGATCATTTAGCAGCTTAAGAGGTCAACCGGTTTTCTAGACATGCCATATTTCTCTCAATGCAAGTACTAGACTCAAACTAGGATCATACCAAGCAGTGGAACTAGGACAGAGAATTCATGGATGAAGAGACTCACCCACACAACAACCAAGGACTTTACATATCGGGTGCTCTTCCATTTCATTTCAATCTTTGGAACCCCTTTACCTTATTATTTTTGCTTTTCCTTTTTTTCGTTTTATTTTTCACATTCTCACTTTGCTTTGGTTCCAAACTTCAGTTTTATGCGCGGTCGACCCTTATTGATTGAGTAAGAGCAATTTATGTACATCTGTCAATCGCCAGAGTACTTCTTTTAACTCATTTTCCTTTGCTCGTGTGGAGGGTCTATGAAATTAAGGGGGTTCGAAAGCTCTATCCGTTCTCTTAAAAATACATTCTTGAGTAGGCAAACCGTTCAACTGGTGGAATATTTACTTGTACTAGAGACGACTTAGCTTCACAGTGTTGGCCTACCCCATCAAAGATCACTAAAATCTCTTCCAAAACCCGATTTTGTGTGTAGACACCACGTTTTGTCCGGGTAATTGCTCTACCGAAGAAAAAAAACCTCATTGTAACGTTGTCGTACAATTATAAACAAATTAATTACCAAGTATGCCCTTTTTGGCCATAAGATCAAACCAGTTGTTTGCAGTAACAAATTACAAAAATCAGTAACTTCTAGGATTGTTGGCCTCCAATTAACTTGTTACTCTAAATATTTAGAGCTCAAGAGATAGCTCGATGTTTGGATTTAAGTTTAGCTTGGGGTGAATGAAAATAGGCCGAATTAGATAAAGAAAACATATGAGCTTTATTATTAAATGTCTACACTAAACATTACAAGAAATACTACATTTCATAATAAGAGACAATATTCTAACACATAGTTGATTTACATTACTTAAAATTAACACTTGATTTGGAGACCACTCTTTGATAAGCCATGGATCTGCAATAGAAGCGAAATTCAGTTAGTTCAAGCCCAGATCTGATTAAGGCCAGGTCCAAGCCCAGCTCGGCCCAAGGTTCAATACAGACTAAATTCAAGCCCATTTTGAGCCCAAACAAAGACCAGGTCGGCCCACAACCCCATCTCTAATTCTCCAAACTCGGCCCAAAGTCCATGCCAATCTTATCCAAAACTAACACCGACCAGTCAGGACCGACCAAGTGTGGTGGAGGTCTCACAATTGGTCTCAAATCCAATGAATGACCAATTGGCACGTGCCATGTCCTTTTTGCTATAAATAAGCTCTTTTGGCTCTTTGTTTTGGGGGAGGATGGTGTGGAGAAAAAAAACCGATACAGAAGCAGACATTCTAAAATACTCTTTCCATTATAAGAGAAAACTTAGTCCAGAGTAGCATCAAGGAAGTGTTCTCGAAGCAAAAATCTTAATAAGGTCGATGCTTTTAACTCGTCATCCATGATTCTTGGTAAGTTTCATCACATTTAGCATGGTTTCTACTCTATCATTGTACCATTATAATAGTCCATCACCTTGCCTACTCATATTCAAGCGATTTACTTTACAAACACCTTTATATTCAAGCAAACTATTTACTAATAATGAGATCTGCTCGTAGTAATTCTATTTCAGCATCAAGCTTCTTTCAATTGAGCATTTACTTACTTTTTTTTTTATCAATTGATAGTCTAGTTTGATTTTCTGCGATGCTTTCATATTCCCTTTTAGCATACAGTTGATAAGCACTAGATCATTATACATAAACAAATTAAATCCAAATCTAAGCAACCATATCACACTAGAATTTTTGATTCACAAGCCCTTACCAGTTTATCAATCAAAAATCATAATATAATAAAATCGCAAGCAGAAGCATGGATTTAGAGTTCTTAATTTAGTATAATCAATAGTTGTAGTAGTGATATAGTCCTTAGTCTAGCAAAATCACTAAAAGTGGAAGTGATTTATAATCGCCAAGATAAGCAATTTAGAGCATGTTAATTACATCTCCATTACAGAAAAATCATTTTTGCCAATCTGTAGTACATCAAAATCAAAAGCTACATAAAAAAACCATCGAAAACCCCACAAAATCCCAATCAATCCAATAACAATAAGATTAGTGAAAACTTTAGTTTCATTTAGCTTAATGATTGCAAGCAGTGGCGGTGATCATTGGCTAGCTTCCAATTGTTTAACTACCTCGATTCTTTAGTAGAATGATTCATAGAATAAAAATCAAAAGACATACACAACATATCTCCAAAATCACATATATGTAAACCGTTTTCAAACCCACAATCTACCATTTTTTTAGTTCAAATTCCGTAATCACTTTAAACCGAGTTTAGAAGACCTTACCCAAATCTATCCACTCTCAAATCCTGCCGCAACAAAAAGTAGAAGAGTCAATAGTGAATACCTACCCAAATCCAGGTAAACAAAAATAAAAAAATAAAATTTCCACCTGCCGTAGGCCATAGCCGTAGTCAAATCACCACCGCGTTCGTCGCCGACGAAGTCTAGGACCGGCGTCGTCCTGTTTTTCTCTTCCCATCGAAATCCAGAAGAAAACTAAAAAAAATCAGAATACGAAAACAAAAAAAAAAAATAAACAACTCTGAGCTTACCCCATTTCAGCCGGCGGTAAGCTCGCCATCCTCACCAACGAGGTCTGAGTGTTGTCGATTTCCCTTCCCCCTGGCACAAAACCAAGATCTAAGAATATTAGCCGAATCACAAATAAAATCACCTAAAATGAATTGAAAAGACCATGCATGTCTCAATCTTACCTAGATCGAAACCATTTCGGTTGATTTAGTTCGATGAAAGCGGTCTCTTAGGCTAACCGAGAGGAGAGAGAGAGGCTTTGTGTTAGCTGAAGACGAGGAGGAGGAGGAGGAGGAGAAGGTGTCGTTTTCGTTTGTGGAGAAGGACTGAATTTCATCTCTGGTCTGGATTATGGAGAGGATGACGGAGGCGTAGTACTTTTTTTTGGTTCTTCAAGCGAGACGAGAGACGGTGAGGTGAGAGGAGAAGATAGGTAGAGAGAGAGGACGAAATAGAGAGGAACGAGAGGGTGGAGGCGGCTGCTAGGATCAGGGTTTGACGGTTTAGGGTTTCTTAGAGATTATATAATCCAAAAATTAAAATGACTTAATTACCCCTAGAGTTTCTAACTATTTACACGGCCTTCTCACCTCTTCTTGGTTCATTTACGAAGTTGCCCTTCCCCCGTCTCTACACTAAAACGAGTATTTACAGAAATTGTAAATAGCGAGTTTTGAACCCCCTTTCTCGAAATCGAACACACTCTTCTTCTGGAGGTTTAACCAGTGGCTGCTGGCCCATCATGCATAAATTTAATCATCCTCTTTCATTATATCTATTAATATCCTTAATATGAAATTTTGAATGCGGATTATGTTAATCTCATTTCATTTCTAATACATCAAATCTTTTTTGATAACTGAAATTTTTATTTTCTCTTTTCATAACTTCATAGTAATCAACTTAAACCTCATTAACAAAAAAACCTTTAATATGAGAACCACGATCAGTGTAATGTGATAAAAGTCACATTTAAATTTATCAGAGTGAACGAACTACGTGGACTTTTGATCCCGTGTTACGGGTATGTAGGCAATCGATAAGGTTCGAGTCCAACTAACCAATTAACTTTATCTTTAAATTGTACGTCAGTGGACATATAACTAAATTACAACTAATATCATAAAATTATTTAATGGTCCAGTGGAAGGCACGCCAAACCTTCCAACCAAGTTGAACTCAGATCAGAGGTTGATCTCGAGGTATCTAACCAGTTTGAAAGGGGCTACGACATGATACAACTTCGGAATCAAATCTCTAGGAATTCCTCTACAAGCATATAGTAAGCATAGAGGCCTCCCTAAATCGTCCAAAATAATCCCGAAACCACCCTAAAACCATGTCGTTGCGCCGTCCGAAAGCCCTAGGTCTACCTACATAGGGTAATGATGTAATGATATGTGTTTGCTTATCTAAATGTATGTGTGCTTGCGATATATGATATGCGTTTTATCTTTTACTTGTAAAACTATGTGATTGTATGAATGAAAAATGTTTCCAAATTTCGTAAAGATCATTCTCTCAAAGATTTTCATTCACTCATTCACAACTTATAATAAAAAGACTAAAAACGCATGCATGAGATGAAAAAATAAATTTGCATTCATACATCATTAATATTTTGCATAAGCATCATGCATACACCATCATTAAAAAAGGAAATAATTTGAAAATTTTGAGATGGTCCAGGTTTCCTTACAATTGCTCATCCACAAGGAAAAAGTCAAGACTTCAAGTATCTAACTAGATCCAATATCAAGTTCGTCATGGAAGCATTCCAGAAGGAGTTGGATGACATCAAAGGAGAGCTGAGAGAGTTCAACAAGAAGCTAGTAGGGTTCGATGTGAAACTAACGGGGTTCGATGAGATGCAAGGGAAGGAGGTTGCAACAAATGAGGAAGAAATTGTATTTGACGACGACGATCACTATGAGCCACCTCGGGGGCATGCCTCGGGTAGTAAGTTTGTCCTCATATCTTCAAAGAACACGGGCGACAAGGGAAACATTGGGCCATTGAAGCATGACAATTAGGAGAGTCCGAGGAGAAAGACGAACATAAGATCGAAAATATGTTGGAAGAAAAATTAGAACATATGAATGAACGGATAAGAAGCATAGAAGGAGTTAAATCGTAGGAGCATATGGATGCATCAAAACTATGTCTAGTCCTAGATGTCGTGATTCCTCACAAATTTCAAATGCCAGAATTTGAAAGGTACAATGTACTGCAATAAAATGGCCAATCACATCCGGGATGAAAGGATAATGATACATTGCTTCCAGAACAGCTTAAGTAGTTCTACACTAAGATGGTATATGCAATTAGAGAAAACAAAACTGAAAAGGTGGCAAGACCTAGCCGACGCATTCATGAGACATTACAAGCATAACTAGGATCTCTCTCCAGAACGAGAGGATCTGAGGAGTATGGAAAAGACGGAGAAGGAGTCTTTCAAAGAGTATGCTCAGAGGTGGAGAGAGAAAGCTGCAGACGTTCAACCTCCACTTTCAGAAAAAGGAAATGGTGTCGATCTTCTTTGGAACTCTAAGTGCTCCGTATTACAACAACATGGTTGGAATTACCACATCCAACTTTGCGGATTTGCTAGTAATCGGAGAACGAATAGAAAAAGGTTTGAAGTAAGGTCGGATGGAGATTCCAGAAGCCTCTAAGAAACCATCACCAAGCCCGAAGGGGAGAAGCAGACGTCCATTATGCTCCAATAGAATCAACCAGAGGAAGAAGGTGGGATCATCAACCTCAAGTCAATCAAGTTCATCCATATGTTGCAAACTCTGCCATAATTAATCAACGTCCAAAATTTCCTAGCTACTCAACGAGCCAGCCAGAGCCTGACACGAAGTTGCACCACCACCAAATAACCAAGACCGGAATAATTATGGGAGATACAGGAAACCCATCCAAATCGATTCTATCCCTATCACATACACCGAACTTCTCCCTCAGCTAATTCAGAGCAACCTAATCTCCCCAATACATGTGAACCTATGAAACCTCCTTATCCAAATTGGTACAAAATAGACCAGTATTGTGCTTACCACTCGGGAGTAGCGGGACACTCAACTGAAGATTGCAGATCACTCAAGATCAAGGTCCAACAAATCATGGATACTGGGTTGTTAAAATTCGAAGAAGAGCCAAAGCGTCCAGATGTCATCAATAACCCACTGCTAACTCATGGGAATTAGTAGGCAAACTACAAGGCAAAGCTCGGTTTAAGGATGATGTTGATCCTATTTAGTAAATAAAATATCGAGATAATTTGCCATAGCAAAATATGTATCACTTTTGCTTTTATCATCATAAATAAAAGGTCTCTCACGTTTCGACCTCTTTGGAGCATTGTGTTACTATTATCAATCTTAGTTTAAGAGTTCAAATCAATGGTTTTTCATTATCAAAATAACGAATATCGTTTCATATCCTTTTTAAAAACAAATTTATTTTCTACAAAAATGAAAGCTACCCAAATCCATTTTTATTTTCAAGTTAAGCCATGAGATTGTCATGCTAAGAAAATGTGAACACCTCACTAGTGTCGAGCGATTATAAACACCATGTTGTTGTCGATATTTTGACCGCCCACTGGTGTTGAGAGCGTACGTTTTGCTAAAATTGAGGAATAAACACCCCACTGGTGTCCATGAATTATGTGCGCCAATAGCCAAAAGGCGTAACGAGTATACGACATCATTCTACTTGTAGAATCTCGTCACCACTATAGTCGATTTTCGCCAACAAATTGAGACTCGGTTTACATAAAGTAAATAGCCAAATCACGATGCACAGGGAGCCAAACATTACTATCATGGCAAGAAAAATCTCACAGAGTCTCATGACTAGAAGATTGAGAAAGATCAAGGATCTAATTTATCATTTAAGGGAATCACACACGTGAAGCACTCATCTATACAAGCAAGTACATGGCATCAGAATTCTCACTTCTACGGAAAAAAGAAGAGCCAATTCAATATAGCCAACGAAAAAGGCCCCCACACTCTCAATCACCAAACAAACTCTCAACCTTCCAATACTTGTGTCAATAAAAACAAACTTTTGATCAAAGAAAAAAAGAAGCATAGATGCGGGCATACAAAGCCAAGTAAGTCCCACCACACAAAGAAAAACTAAAAAAGAGAAAGAAAAAAATGTGTGTTGTGGGACTTACAAATTAGGTGCCCCAATTTAGCATTTGAAGTACCAACTATCTACACCAACCAAGGTCTTTGTCGATCAATCTCAAGATACAACAAAAGGACCTTCAAGCAAGAACCTTTCATGATAAGAAAGTCGTTATAGACAAAATCACATAATCCAAGTTACTTATCATTTTGAGAGAAAGCCAGAGGCTGAAAATCCACCGCAGTCAACATTTAGAGGTCAAACAAGAATCTCGAAAAGTCCATAGCCATATTGCATTCGAAAAAACCTCAAAGCTCGACTCCTTAAACCATAATTTCAAAGACACAGGGGGCAAAGTAGTTGAAGATAAACTCCTCAAATATACCCCAAAACCACCAACATTTTTTAACAAGTCTTCGTCAACAAAAAGATCAGGATAATAGTGGAGGGAAAGCAGAAATCCCCCTACATGAATGAAGTATGCATTTTGCATATCTATCACTCATCCAAGTAAACAATGTTTTCAGACGAGAAGACTCTTACCTTCGGAGCCATATCATATGAAAGCCTCAGTTCATGAGAGATCAATAACGTCCATGACGATACTGGGAGGAGATCTTCTAAATCAATTACATTAAAGGCTCTCCATATCAAATGAATCTTCATAGGGAGCACAGTTGGCCATTAAAATAAAAGGAGGCATCTCAAGGTTATAAGAACTTAATGGTAGCTGAAGTGTCGTAAACTCAAAACACATATAGGAATGACTAAAACTAGGGGTGGAGTTTCGGTTAGTTCGGTTATAATCGGTAACCGAACGGTCGGTTATCGGTTAACCGAATTGCTTGTGCCCCTTACCAACAACCGACTGAAATAGGGATTTAGGCTTCGCTTATCTCAATTTTTGGTTAACCGAACCACCTCCAAGACCAAAACCATCTCGCCCAGCCTCCGAACACCGACTGAATTTCGGTTATCTCAGTTATCGGTTAGTGGATAACCGGTCGGTTATCGGTTTAACCAGTCGGTTAACCGGTAACCGGTAACCAAACCTCCAACCTAACTGAAACTGAAATCAAGAGTGAGAGCGAGGGCTTGCTAATATTCTCATAATGAAACCAAGGGCGAGAGCGAGAGCTTACTTATATTCTCATACTGGAAATTAAGAGTGAGAGCGAGGGCTTACTGATATTCTCATGGATTGGCTTCCCTCTAAAGTCTGTACGTTTTTGTGGATTGTACAGCAGAAGAAAATTCTTACGCACGACTCCCTGAAGAGGCGGGGATGGAGCTTCCCCAGCAAATGCGTTCTCTGCGATTCAAGCGAAGAGGATGCCAATCACATCTTTATCACTTGCTGCTTCACCCGCAAAATCTGTGATAGAATGCAAACTTTCGTGTATTTGAAGCAGGTACCGCCGGATATATCACAGGCAATACAGAGTTGGCCACGGAGGAAACCTGCTTGCCCGACGGACTGGTGCACAAGGACGTTTCTGCATGCTCTGTGCTGGAGTGTGTGGAGAGAAAGGAATTACAAGATCTTTGAAGATAGAGCAACAACGGAGAATGTCATTGCGTTTAAAATTGGAAGTTTAATTGCGAGATGGCTGGTTGCGACGAACAAAGTGGAAAAGGACATTGCTAAACCTTGGGTAGAAGTGTTGCGGCAGGCTACGATCGGGTCAGTTAGTTCTTAAGCAGGTGGGATTTTGTGTTTGGGCGCCATGTTTAGTCCCCTCTCGTTTTGCTGGTTTGATGTCTGTCTCTGAACTGTTTCTGCAGCTTCTGTCCAGTTTTCTTTCCTTTCTTCTCTCGTCCTTTTCTCTCCTGTAACTTTATTTGTTTTAATAAAATTTGTTCACCATTATAAAAAAAATCAAATTTGGCAACATGACAACTACCACGCAAAAACGGTTTCATCCAGTTTGCACACACTTATCGAAAGCAAAGTCTTGATATGTCTGTCATTTTTATTTCTCTAATAAACATTTTCAAACATTTTTGCACTCATCTTAAGTCAAGATTGATAAGGTCACTCGCTGTTCCGGAGAATAGAAAGTGAATAACAGATCTTCGGGGAAAAAAATGGTGCACCATGGAAGAAGGGGAAGTCTGAGTACTCAAGAATCGGATTAATCAACTTTTCACTCATGAGTTGATGAAGAAATCTCATGGAATCTTAGTACATTCAGCTCTCATTAAGCAAACTATCCAACTGATTATCCTTCAACCCTTCAACTATACAATAAAAAGAAGTAGGTCTTAATATATTACACAGACTCAGAAAATACACGACTCTTAAACATGCAGGCCCAAGCTTGACCGATCACAATGATGAAGCAGTACATATCCACAGCTCACCCCATAAAGTATATCTTCGCACCACTACCACAAAGAAGATATATCCTGAGGCAACAAGTCAAGAGTCGCTCGGAGCCCGAGCAACAAGAGGATTCAGGTGGCGTACATCATCACCTCACCAAATGATTTATATCCTCGCACAACTACCACCACGAAGATAAGTTTCAAGAAAGAAGGCTGAAAGTCTCTCCAACTTAAGCAAAACCTGAGGATCAAGTTTACCAAAAGGCAATGGCAGTTCCTAATGGATGAGCAATTTAAAGGAACCATGAGTAAAAGCACAAGACACAACATATTTGCATACCAATCGTCAAATGCATTACATCATCTTTTTCACTTAATAATTAAGATATCATTTGCATGACACATCACACATACTAAATGCATAACGTCATCATACATCAAAGTGATTTGTTATTCGTCACAATCATTTACTAAAATTTCTAAAATATTCACCTAAACCTATGTGAAAACATTTCGTGCGAAATTCCAATACGCGCTTACAAAATGATTAGCTTGATCTTTATCGCTAACATCTTCTCATTGTTTGATTCGATTGCCATCGCAAACAATTTGAGTACATCGTTTCAAAATGTTGGCTTGATCTTTATCGGTGACATTTCTCATTGTTTGATTTGATTTCCATCACAAACAATTTGAGTACTATATCCTTTACCAAATCGTTAGCTTGATTTTTATCGCTGACGTCTTCCTCATTTTTTGAATTGATTTCTATCACAAACAATTTGAGTACAATATCCTTTACAAAATCGTTAGCTTGATCTTTATCGCTGGAATCTTCTCATTGTTTGATTTGATTTCTATCACAATCAATTTGAGTACAAGATCCTTTACAAAATGATTAGCTTGATTTTATCGTAGTCATTTTTCACATTAATCAATTTGATTTAAATCTTAGACCACTTGAGCATATCATGGTTACCCAAATGATTAGCTTGATCATATCGCTATCATCTTTCTCATTGACCGACTTGATTTCTATCACAGACAACTTAAGTGCATCATTTTTGCAAAATGTTAGCTTGATTTTTCGCTAACAGTTTTCCAATGTTCATTTCAATTTATATCACAGACGACTTGATTACATCGTTGTTATAAAATAATTAGCTTGATTTCATTGTTGACATGTTTCAAATTGATGACATGTTTCTAGCACGAACAACTTGAGTATATCGTTGTTACCAAATGGTCAGCATGATTTTATCCCTTCCATTTTCTTACAGAATTTGGCAACAATAATTTTAACAATTTGTATACGTCGTTGTTACCAAAGATCAGTTCAATTTCTACTTAAGAGATTTTCACATTTAAAAAATGTGGTGTCTTTATAGAAAGTTTGTATAACTCTTTATACAAAGGGATATACAAAGGGGGCAACTGTAGACACCACATTTTGTCTGGGTAATTGCTCTACTGAAGAAAAAAACATCATTGTAACGTTGGCCTACAATTATACATGAAAAGGTAGCTTGAAGAGAATCGGTTGAGACTAGCAGTGACAATTCAATATAAACCAATTAATTACCAAGTATGCCCTTTTTTGGCCATAAGATCAGACCAGTTGTTTGCAGTAACAAATCACAAACATCAGTAACTTCCAAGATTGTTGGCCTCCAATTATCTTGTCACTCTAAATATTTAGAGCTCAAGAGATAACTCGATGTTTGGATTTAAGTTTAGCTTGGGGTGAATGAAAATAGGCCGACTTAGATAAAGAAAACATATGAGCTTTATTATTAAATGTCTACACTTAGGTAACCAGTTCGTGGAGCGAGAGCGAGAGCGCGAGAACGTACGTCTATTTTGCAAGAACTCAATATTGAATAGAGCCTTAATATTATATTATTTTTAATATATATTGATTATGAGACATAATATATAGTAAATAATTTTTTTTATTACATAAGTTCTTAATAAAATTTATTTACATATTGTAAGAATAACATCTATTAAATAAATTAGCTTATAACAATTAACCGGACCTTTTCCTTCTCTTTCTTCGCAAAAATATGAGTGGGAGTGTGAGACTCCAAATAATTAAAAAAAAATACCAATCCTACTCTTTCTTGGGAAATACCGCAACTACCAGTCCACCACATACTGCTTATCCATCTGCCCTATTTCAAAATATAATTTTCCGACGCATGGGCCTTCTTCTCCAAACAATGACCATCCACCAAATCGTTCTTGGTCTACTTTCAATCGCTTGTTCACTACACAGTTAAGCTTTTGGATTTGTCTCCTATCTAGTTCTTTTCTTCCTCTCTTCCTTTAA